TAGCTGGGATCGGCAGCGCAACTGATGGTGCAATGGCCCTAACCGTAGCCTCGGCTTTAGCTTTCTGCTTCTTTGCTTTGGCTTTGGGACTAAGGGCTACCTCAATTGCTTGTTCAATCCTTCGCATTGTTCCCCCAACTTCACCCGCGAGTGCCTGCAATGCGTTGAATGCAGACGCAGCCTGATCCGCGCCATTTTGGGTAGAGCTCGCGGGGATAGCCGATGAAGGGATGCTTGGGTTCTTTGGTTCGGCAGCTTGCACATGCGACTGAAGCGCGATTAGCTGCTGATGCATAGCCTTAGATAACTCTTGCTGCTCAAGGATCATCTTAGCTTGCTTTTCGAGCCTCTGGTTGAGCTCACGGTTCATCTCCCCCAACTGTTGATTCTCAGTTCGGAGGTTTCCAATCACCGTTTCAGCTTCACCCTGAATTACCGAAGCGCGTGAACCCAACTGCTGGTTTTCGGACCTTAGCGCCTGTATGGCGGCATACGACTCACCCTGAATCGCAGCGGCCTGGGCACCTAGCTGTTGGTTCTCTGATCTTAGAGACTGAATCACTGCTTCGGCTTCGCCAAACACGGCTGCTGTCTCAGCTCTGGCGTTCATGATGGCTGATGTTGCTTCGGATTGCATGTTCGCATGGGTTACCGGGTCAACCCCAACCTGAAGGACCTGCTGCCGATGGGCATGTTGATGCAAGTGCAACTCCTGATGGCTCGTGTTCGGGCCGGTTGGGTTCTGACTACGGGCAGGGCCAACATTCGCTGCAAAGGTTGGTGCCGGTTGCAGGGATGAAGACCTCGATGCGGGTCCATACGACAATGATCTAGCCCGGTTCCTCCGAATCGGTCCCGAACTTGATGAATCCGACTGTCTAGCTGCCTCCGGGCGCACGCTAAGTGCTTGGGCCCTAGGGGGTGTGCTCGACGATGAAATTTCCAGTGAGGATTCCTCGAATCCCAGTTGTGATGCTAGAGGCATTATGGGAACAGCGGTTCAACCGAGGTCTAAGGGTTGTAAAAATACTTCACCCCAACCTTCAAAGTTGACCCTCAACACTAGAACCCACGGAATTTGCAGTCTGCCCCAGTCCCGTTTTAGATGTGAAGGTCGTACCACAGCACGTGGTCGAGGCTGCGCCTGTCCGACGGCTCCCAACAATAACCGGTACAGCCCGGGTAACGCGAAATATCGCGACAGATGGGATCCTGGTCGTCCACGTGATGAATCGCAACCCACCACTCCGTGCCAAAGCGGACAGCCGATCGCCCTTACCGTTGTTGCCAACCTTCGCAGATGTAATCAATAAAGAAATCACCCGCTCCGGAGCGCCAACGAAAGAAGATGGGTCCAGCCCCTCGACAACGCGACGCACGCTGTCCCTCACTTTGGCCTTGGTGGAAGATGTTACAGCGAAAGAGCAGACCACCAAGCTGATGTCGGAATACGTGCTTAAGATGCGTTGCACAGCTGTGGCACTCGCGGCGTAGTCGCGATCTAACACCAAGTGACAGTCAAGCGATACCACACGTGTGGCCCGTTCAAGCTGTATCCAGTTCGCGATTTGTCTGATTGATAAAGACTCGCTGAAACGAACACTACGCCTGACCAATGGCCGTGGGACCTCCTCTACCGCCTCCTCGACGGGATCAAGAACCTCCGCTACCGCCTCCTCGACGGGATCAAGAACCTCCGCTACCGCCTCCTCGACGGGATCAAGAACCTCCGCGGCAGCCTCCTCAAATCGGGCCCGCTTAGGCTGTCGAAGAAGAGGGTTAGCAGATGTAACCGTCACTCGAGTCCCGATAGGGACAAACGGAGCTAGTCCAGGCGCCGAAGTTGGTGAAATGCCTCTGGGTTTAGGGGGCGTGGGAGGTCGTAACCTACCGCCCGGAAGAGTCCCTCTACCGGAAGTTACACCCCTTACCGAATCCGAATCACCACCCAAGGCACGGCGTGCTGGAGGTGGAAACGGCGGCTCGCGAGGCGTAACCAAAGGCCCACTAGGAGCAGCAGAAGATACACCAGGAGACTCAAGACCAGAAGGCGGAGGGGTCTCAGGGACAAGATCAGCAGGAGGAGGGGTCTCGGGGGCAGTAGGTGCCGGCGCAAAAGACCGCGGAAACAGTGTCGGACCAGAAGACGGAAGGAAAGTGGGCAAAGGATCAGACCGATCAGGGGTATTACCCTGCTCTAGCCAATTAATATAGGCGTTGGCCGTCTCCAAGTTCTGGCGGTCTGCCTGATCAAGTGCCGCGAGTCCACGCAGCTCAGAAGCAAAGCCACCCACAATCTTCAAGTGCAAACTCCTCCGGGCCCTCCCAGATGAGCCGGATCCTCCGCGTTTCTCAGCTGCCAACAGGAGCGCAGCGTTGAGAGCGAATCTCTCCTCTGGCGTAGTAGCCCCGCGGCCACTCATACAGCAGAGAAGAAAACAATCGGGATGCCTTCAGATAACGAACACAGGTAGATTGAAGTTCGCTATTCCTCTGAAGGCTCTGCTTAGACAATCCTCTAGATTATCCAATGTCCCAATGTCAATCCCTGAAGGCTCAGCTGGGTAACCCTCTCGATCACCCGATATTCAATGTCAACCCAGGAAGAACGACACAGAACCCCCTGGCTGGCACACTGAGAGCCGATGCGATTTGTTGTTTCTTTTGGATCGTTGTGCTGTGCTGCCGAGGCAGTCTCCAGCTGGGATGAGGGACTGAGGAAGCGGTTCGAAGGCCGAGCACGGGAAACACCCACGCTAACCCAAACCAGAAATCTCAATCAACCTCCAATCTCAGCTGAACTCTTACAGGAGGGTTGCTGGGATGCAATCTCACTCCTGACTCGTTGCGGTTCTGTTCTGAGCTCTACTGGATCGCCTGTCGCACCACAAGGCCTGGCCTCCTTTGTCCGTGAACGGGACTACGGGAGAGGTGCTAAGGCGGGGCTTTAGAGAACCCGAAGAAGGTTACCACGCGGATGCCTGAGCAAGCAGGCGAGGCACGCAGCAGATTTGGACCTCACAGATAATGTGTAAAACCAGGCTGCGATGCAGGCGCTGGTTGGGATCTCAACTGTAGGGTTCTGGCTCTAACCCCAGGAGAATGACAGTGCAGGATATGGAAAGTGGTCTGGAGGATGGGCAGGTCTCTCACTAGACCTACGGCAAACCGATTTCACGCAACCTCGCTAGTTGCTTGCAGATATGGAATGCACAGACACTTGGCCTGCACGCGGGGCACTATGGCTCGCAGGGGTCCTAGACTCTCCCTAGACGACCACAGCGAATGATATGAAATGCTGAGGCTGTTAACCAGTTGAACACGAAGTAAACCCGTCGTGTTACAAGACAAGCAAAAGCAAGCACTCAAAGCACTTCTTTTACTTGAGCCAAATCACGTTCGTGTGCGTCTTTCAAGCTGCTCTTCATCTACCTCTTGTAGTACGTTCTTAGCTACATCATGCAAGGGCCTGGGGCTCGAGTATGATTAACTTCTTTCAAGTTCTGCAGGATCTTCCGAGTGTTTTGCTCCTACGGAGCAAAAACTCTCTAGGTTTGATCGAGCACCTCGCTCCAGTTCCAGGTACGCTGATCTCTTCCGTGCAGTTTGCTCCCGTCTTTGAGGTGTTCTTTCCCTTCGGACTGGCGTGATCCTTTTTATCCATGTCTCATCTTTGTCAAACTCGGTAGTCCTTTTCGAGAGGGTCGATTTGCGCATCTGTTTCGACCGATTGCTTCTGTTTCTCAAGCACAGAGGTACAGCATTTGACACGGAGGAGAACCCGAGAAAGGGGAGCAGCCCGCTTGACACAACTTGTGAAACCAGAGCACTTGATCAAAGGAGATTTTGAGAACAAGGACGGAGAGAGCCGAATGACCTCTTTCTCAATCTCTCTTCTTTGGTCCTCTTTATCACATCCTTCTCTCTGTAAAGCTGTCTAACTTGTTGTGCGGCGTTGTTCCTTTCTCAAATTTTCTGGTGCTGTTCGACTTGCGTGCTTCTCTTTCTCACATTCTCATCATTCTCCTCGCTGTCAAATTCTATAGATTCTATGGTTTGCGTACCGCGGCTTGCTCCTGTTTCTCAAATTTCCAGTCCCGTTGGATTGGTTTTCGCCTTTTCGTCACGTTCGCTCATCTGGTTCAATCGGATTGCTCCTCCTTCTCAGGTTCTCTAGTCACTTTACTCTCTTGCAAGCGGCTTGCTCCTGCAAAGAAACAAGCGTCAAACACCACGGCGTTCCCTTTCAGATTTACAGAACCCCGAAAGTAAACTGTCTGACTAGGGAGACAAGCATCGCAGGTCGCAAACGAAGGGAGACCAACATCCGAGACCCGGTATCGGGCACCCTCACCGCTGCTTAAATGAAGCGAGACAAGGGGGGACGAGTCTCGAAAATTACAATCTTCTCTGCAGGAATGGCTTCACTGCCTGATGAGCAAAGGAGAAGATTGGATGTGAAGAGATTGCTTCTGCTAGACATCCGACCACCGGAGGGTGTGAAAACTCTGGATTGGCCACCCGCCCGCGGCGTGAAATGTTGGCATACTCTTTCAATTTAACGAGGAAACCGTCGGAAACCGTGCTGAGAGAGGGAGTGTTTACCCCCCGAAAAATCCAAGCTACAAGCTGCACCAAGGCAGGGAGAATCTAGAGTTCAACATTAGGCCATCGTCTTGACGAGGGAAACCATCCCGTCGTGGAGCTGTTGGAGCAAGCTGCTTCAGTGGGTTCAGCTTCATTCCGCAGGTACACTCATGTTCTGTCACTGCTGCCCCTGCATCAGCAACCCCTTCAACCAACGCCTTCCTGCAGACGCACTTGAGGCTGCACTTAAATGAACACAGCACAGGACTGTCGATTGACTATATTGACTATATCATGGTGCGTTGCCGTACGTACCGACAACTCCTGAACTGTTGCAAACCCTTTAACACTTTATTATTGATATTGCAGGTTTAGTCCATCAACAGGTATGGCTCGCAAACCAGGGTCGGCGCCATCATGACGGCGACCACCAGGCGCTGGGGGTCCGAAGCAGACAGCACGTCTCCGTCTACTAGCGGCTTGAAGTATGCGCCGTCTGCCTCCGCCAAGAAATCTTTGGGCGAACTACGGCCATCATTCCGGAGAAGGTGACAGATGTAGGATAGTTGGTTTTGGTCACTGCCTGCACGGTCTGCAGCTGTGGCAGTTTCAACTCTGAACCGTCATGCCGGTCATTTGGCTATGCTGGTGATGGGAGTCTTTCTGAGCATGCTGGGATTTACAGCCTCAGATTCGTGACGGCGTTCTTCTTTGGCGTACTTAGGGGGATGTCTACTTCCCCACTTCTTATGGTGTAGGACTAGAACCCAGTGTTAGGAGACTTAGGGTTCAAGGCTTCGAGTGAGCGTCGCCTCGTCACGCGCTATCTGCCGCGGAGAGATGCGCCGGGTAAGCAACACGGATGTACGTGAGCACCTCGCATCGTCTTGGCCCGGCTAGGCGAGGAGGCAGGGTGGTTGCTGCATTGCTGGCAACGGAATACGAAGGCAATCACGATGTGATGGCTCAGACAACTGCTGCTGACGTCTCCTGCTGCTGATGATGATGACGATGATTCTGGTACAAGTAGTGCTTCTTGTGACTTATGTTGAATCTTACGCTTGTTGCGTTAACCATTCTTGTTATTCTTGAACGTTCGGTCCTAGATGGCAAACCCTCAGCGGACGTCCGAGCCGTCGTCCCGCCTCCCCGAACGCCGCCAAGTCGATAGCGAAAGGCCTGGAACCACTGCTTGTGACTATGGTGGACAGAAGGCGAAGAAACCGATTGCCAGGACATTGCTCGCACAGCCCGCGCCCTGGCCTACACGCTGAGCCCCAAGGCCTAAACATAACCCATGGCAGCCTGCGGCTACGCTGGATAGTAGCACCGCCTCCTGGCCGAAGGTGGTCTGCGGTCGTTGGGCTTCGGATTTGGGGGTTTGAGCTTGGTTCTGACGATGGCGGTCACTGTTCTGACGCTGCTGGTACACGTGCTGATGATGGTATTGCACATGAGGATGATGTTCTATCTGACTCTCTCTGAGCTAGTTCCTGCCGTTTCTATTATTTTCAGCGTTGTCATCTCGATCGTTGCAGTGTTTATCATCACTGTTACCATAGAACGCACCGCCTGTCTCACTTCTTTGTCAGAATTCTGGGAGACACCTGGAAGGTGAAAGGACCCAAATCCTTGCATGTCCCCTCAAACCCTGCATCCAACAGACACTAATCCCTGACCATCCCTGAACCCCCCAAAAGTTCGAACCTCAAGCCCTGTATCCCTAAACCCCAACTCCCTTAAAGCCCACAATCCCCACATCAACGCCCTCCCGTCCTTCTCGGAGACCAGGGAGCCCACGGCAACTGGATGCGGAGGCCCCGGTCGGGCCGGCGCCGGAGGCGCCTGGAGGCTCGAGGCTCGGTAGAAGGGGCATAGTGAGACTCTAATGAGGGATGCCGTGGTTACTGCAAGGGCCCTGTAAGGGCTCTATTATGAGGATTCTCTAAGGGTGACAATGGGTTTCTACTTTTTTGGAGTTCTCCATTCACAATGAAACCTATAAACGGGATCATCAAACCATGGCGATCACGTCAACTGCAGCACCATGTTATGCACTTGCCCCTAAAACCTAAACCCCGAAACCCAGGCCTGAACCTGCCTAGCCGCCACCGACGGAAGCACAGCCGCCATGGCGGGACAACTTTCTGGGCTTTGCCAGGGGAACCCTCAACTGGGAAACTGAACCCTTAAAGTCGGAGACCTCATGACTCTTCTTCGAATTGGGTGGAGGAGTTGGGGGCTATAGGCTTTAGACCGCTGGTTGTTCGACAGGGTTCGCGTTCCTGGTACTGTAGAGCTTGGGGTATTCAGGATCTTACGGCAATGACCGCTCCGCTCCAGAGCAGAGTAGATGTCCTCAAGGGTCAGGGTGAGGGTTTCAGCTTTGACTCTTCGTAGTTGTTCATTGTCGCGGCTGATGCGTCGTTGGGGAGGCTCTGATGTTTCTGGCGCTAAGAAGCAACAGCTAGTCGGCACCGAGCAATTCTTCTGGAAGGTAGCAAGAGTGGACAGCTAGAAATTAAGGTGCTCTTCGGGAAACTCCGATCTCCGCACCCTTCGAGTCAATGGCCCTTTTCTGCACAGGACGCGCGATGGCGATGCCATGGCGAGCGCAGCAAGAGTGCCAACCGGCTTGCTCGGCATGTCCTGGCGGCGAAAACTCTTAAACACCGAGGATTTACTGCAAAAGTTAGTGTGAGAAGCCTAACTTGAAAGGTAGAGGGCATGAAGTTGAACTGCCATTACTTTAAACTCTCTGTGCAAGGGCTGCAAAAGGCCGGTCGCTTCGAAAGCCTTTGTGAGCAGGTGTCTTTTTTATGCATGGCTATAGATGGAGCTTGACAAGTCAAGCTTTCCACTCAAGCCAGCCCCTGATCCGAAAGGAAACCGCTGCCGAACTGTCATCGTGTCATGCAGCCTCTCGCTGTGCAACCAATCAATCCATGATGCCATACCATGGCCACCTAATTCCACGCCGAAAGCTTTTGGCAAAGATTTCGACCCTAACTAGCAGTCATCAGAACCAGAAAGAAGAGTGCCAGGAGCACCGTCGCGAAGCGTCTCCAACCACACCCTCGAGGGTCCCAGGCCCTGACAACATCATGTTTTCGGGGTGCTGGGTGCACAGCATGCGGCATGCACGGCATAAATGACCTCAATCCCTGACTACAAGACCTCACTCAAAGTCTAAACTCTCTGTGTTCAATACAGCTTCGAGGGCCGAGGCTTCTGGGGTGCACGGGCTAAAGTGTCAGATTCTGGCTTAGGCACTATGACCCTCGCACTATGGACCCCATGCCTCGTCCATGTCGGTGAAAACGTGGTTGAGAAGCACCGTGGACTCCTCTCAGATCTCTTGGTGGACGATTAGACATCAACAGTTTGCGATGTCAGTGGAGAGATGTGCCGCGTGAACACAACGGATGCAAGTGAGCAGCTCGCATCGCCGCACAAGGGCAATAATGGATCTAAGAATACAAATAGCTTGGCTATCATGCGACAAGTGTTCGTGGTCGTCGAGGTCGTCATAATCCCCGTGGTCGTCGTGGTCGTCGTTGTCGTGGTCGTCGTGGTCGTCGTGGTCGTCGTGGTCGTCGTGGTCGTCGTGGTGGTCGTCGTGGCCGTCGTGGTCGTCGTGGCCGTCGTGGCCGTCGTGGCTTTCCTGGTCGTCGTGGTCTTTGTGGTCATCGTGGTCATCGTGGTCGTGGTCGTGCTGGTTGTGGTCGTCGTGGTCGTCGTGGTCGTCGGGGTGGTCACAGCTTCGGTCGCAGTGGTCGTGGCGGTGGCGGTGGCGGTGGCGGTGGCGGTGGCGGTGGCGGTCCGGGGGGGTGGCGGTCGGGGTGGTCGGGTGGTCGGGGTGGTCGGGGTGGTCGGGGTGGTCGGGGTGGTCGGGGTGGTCGGGGTGGTCGGGGTGGTCGGGGTGGTCGGGGTGGTCGGGGTGGTCGGGGTTGTCGGGGTGGTCGGGGTGGTCGGGGTGGTCGGGGTGGTCGGGGTGGTCGGGGTGGTCGCGGAGGGGTCGGGGTGGTCGGGGTGGTCGGGGTGGTCGGGGTTGGGGGTGATTGCGGGGTGGGCGTGGTCGGGTTGGTCGGGGTCGGGGTGGTGGTGGTGGTGGTGGGATTGGGAATGGCACCACACTATTCCTCTTCTTCCTACCTCTGCTGCTGCTAATACAACTACTGCAGCCAGCGAAATCTTCGACCATTCTGGCTGTTAGTACTGCAGCCCGCAGTGGCTTACGAAAAAATCGTCAGAGGCCAATATACTGCAGCTGCATCTCCACTCGAATTAGTTACACGATTGATGACACGAAGGCCAAGATACTATCCCGCGATAGGCAGCGAACACTGTCTGAGAGTGGTGCGAAAGTCATCAGTCAGTGAATGCAACAGAGCGACGTTCACATGCGTGGCTAATGTGTTCCAGGACGCAGCTGCGGCCCCTGTCCCCTCAGCCCAAAAGCCCTGTCCGGCAGGGCCATCTGCAGGCAAAGGAGCATGTCCAACTTTACCGCCTGCACCGCTGGATTCTCGTGAATCAGATCCCTTGCGAGGTAGACGAAGCACTCTCGGAGTTAAGGGGAAACTCAAGACCCAAAATTGCGGCCCACCTGGGCCCACCCTGAAACGGGCCTCGTACGCATGGTTCCCATCTATGAACATCAAGTCGAACTCAATGTGGCGAAACCTCGGCCGGCCAAGTGCATCGGCAAATACTGTTACTAGGAGCAGCAGACTCCACACTTTAAGCCCAACTTTTTATATGAGACCGTACATAGACACCCGAAGCCTTGGCGCTGAGCCCACAACTAAAAACCAAAGCCTTGTGAAGCCTGACAGCCCCTCTCCAAACGCCCCAAACCCTGACGCAAACCCTGCCCCCCTAAAGCAAACAAACAAAAACACTAAAACCCTTAAAGTCGTAAAAAAGAAAAACTAAAACCCTGAAGGTGCCTTTGTATCTCTACCCCACAAATCCAGAAAAAATAAGAAAACAAAACTCCCCCCCCCCCCCCCCCGAAAAACAAAACAACATTGAAAAAACCTTTAAAGCACCAGGGGCTTATGAACCGTAAACCCCAAACCCTAAACCCCCGCAAGCTTGGTGGCCAATTTTCCCAGGCCCCGGCCTCGGAAGCATCTCTGCCGAGTCCCCCTCGAGGAGGATGTGCGTCTGTCCGCGCTCCTCTTTAGGATTTACGGCTCAGTGTTTATCTGTTTCGGGGGTTTGGGGTTTAGGGGCTTCAGGGTTTGGGGTTTAAGGGTTGGGGGCTTGGGGGTTGTGGGGTCCAGGGCTCAGAGCTAAAGTAGGGTTCATGTCCTGTCTGTTGTAGGAAGCGCTATACGTTGCATGGATTATAAGGGCGTTGCGAGCACCCGTGAAATCAAGGGTTGATAAAAAGTTGTAAGGCTTCAGAGATTCCAGGGCTTTCAGCAGGCTTCGGGGGTATAGAGGTATTTGGGGATGCTCCAGGGACTGCTCGGTTCTGGAACAAGGGATTAGTGTTTGGGGTGTAGGATTCGGAGTCTTTTTTTCAAGCTTTTGGGGGTTGCGGTGTATGTGGGATTGAGAGTGCAGGACTACGGCTTACGGCTTCGAGGCAACATGAGGGAACGTGACAGAGCTGGTTGAAGAAGAATTTGCAAGAGAAGCAAAGAGCTTGGTAGTCACTGTGACCGTAACCAGGTAGTTAGAGACAGCTAAAGCAGGCTGGCAGCAAATCGGTAGGTCTTCTGACGTCTGATCTTGCAGTACCGGACTAACAGTATGGACTGGTCAGGTCCTACTTCAACCCGAGGCGTGGTCCTGCGCAGTCTTTGCCACGAACTTCTCCAGCGGACGCGTGTACCTCCCGGATCCCATTCCCATGAAGCCTCCCTCTGCTGACACGACACGTGACAGCTCATTGCTTCGGGCCAAAGTCAGACATGGACAGGGGCACGCGTGACGGCACAAGTCCAGAGACAGCAGCACGCTGCCTTCAGGTGCCTCTGTGCATTTTGGTGGATTCCCAGGCCGGGTTAGACTGGGTCTTGCACCAAGATTAACACGAACCGCCAAACCGCAACACATCTGTGCCTTACTGAATCCCAAGAAGACGAAACCCGACAAAACCCAAGACCACACTGACAAGAATTGAAACCGTCCAGCCCCAAAGCCAGCAAATGTGCCCTGAGCCAGACCCCCAAACCCGAAACCCCTGTAGAACTCCTTGGAACCCGTAGAAAAACCTTTAAAAACCCACTCAGTATGATTCTAAAAAGCCGACCCGGGCCTGGTCCAGCAGCGCCGCAGCGCTGTGACCGGCGTTGAAGCCTGTCGGAGCGAGGAGCTGTGCTTTGCCAGGCTTTTAGGGTGAAGGGTGATGGTGACCCTGAAAGAAAACCTCAATTAACAAATGTCTCGACTGACTAGGACGCCGTATGCATTCCAGGATTTACAGAGCTTTGGAGGCCGATTCGGGCATTGAGGGCTCAAAATCTCAACGATGTTGAGGGTTTAAGGAGAACCCAAGGTTCGTTTGGGAGCGTTCAGATTGAAGGTATAGAGCTGCAGACGCTTCGGACCCCGATCTCTGGCTTCCGCCTCGGAAACCCTTGTAAATTCAAATCTAAAGTCCAGGCTGTAGGGGTTTGGGGCTTGGGGGGCGCTGCGGCACCGTCGAGGAAAGATCAGGCGATCAGGGCTGTGACAACACATACCGGAAAGTCGTCATCACTTAACCCTGCGCCCTCAACAGACCCTATCCAAGCCCTGGACTTCCCAAAGCCTAAGCCCTAAACCATCTCACTCGGGCTCCCTTCTTTCTGCGAGTAAGACCCACCCGGGAAGAGCCCAAGCCCCACAACTGCAAACCCTAAACCCTAAACCTACAATCTATCCTACACTTCCCCTGGTTTCTTCCACGTTCTGTAGGTGAGTATTCCTGGCTTGGGGGTGCAACCCCTAGACCGAACCACGAAAGCCAAGAACAAGCTCCAAGGTTTAAACTTTTGGGCAATGTTTAGTCGTTGGGGTTTAGGGTTTCGAGTCGGGGCTTCGGGCCTAGGGCTTCAAGCTTATAGCACCCTATGCGGTCAAGATCTTGGCGAACCCAGAAGTTGCGCCTATTTGGCAAATCTTCAGGCCGCCCGCATACTGCGGGCTGCCAAAGCGGTGGGCCACGAAGCTGCGAAGAAACTGCGGCACATGTGCACGAGTGGAGCCTAGTATCCCTGTAATCGTGCCCCTAAAGCATCATGAGGACTTTCCATACTCCGATTGGTACTTGTTCGGCCCTTCTCCGAACCTTCAAGCCTGAATTGGAGCCGAAGAGGCCTAAGATGTGTTCCTTGCTTCGTGGAACAGTTTCCTCCCCGGCTCCCTCAGAACAACCCGGAACCGCAAGGCAAAGAGACACAGTGTCCACAGCCAAACAGCCGAGTGGGAGCCCTGCAATCCACGATGCATGGTCCAAGACAGATCCTCACCAGACTCGTGAGACGAAACCCCCACAAATCCTACATGAACTCCACATAATCCATGCACCAGTACATCACCTTTCTACGATCCAATAAAGACCCTACAGCAGTCCACCTCCAGCTGTTCCGGAGCACAGTGCCCCTCCATGTCCTCCATGGGCTGAGGCTGCAACCCGTGACACCAAATACATGTGCTTCTTGAAGTAAGCGTTCAGCTTTGGGCTGCTGAAGCGTTGGGAAGTGGCTTTTAGGACAACGTGTCTTCTTTGCTGCAATTCGGGGCACAGCCTCTGTCAAACGAGCTTGGGCGATTTGGGGGGATGTGGAGCTTGAGGGCTTAATGCTTATGCTTCAAGGCTTTGGGGTTTGATGCTTTATGACTTTAGGGCTTTGCATTTGAGGGTTCAGGGTCTGGGGAGAAGCACAAAGTAGCCACAGCAAGAGGCGCGTAAACCGTAAAGCTTTTGCGCAGCAAGTCAAAACAACACCTGGCCACATGACCCAAACGAGGGCACCAACACGCAGCCAACACAAACAGGATCTTCGATGTGTCTGAACAGTAGCAAGGGACTGGCAAGGACCTCTGTCTGTCTACGATTCAAGATGGTGTTCCCACAAGAGGGAAGCCGGGTTCAGCCAAAAACCTCGAAACCAAAAGCGGACCTCTAAAGCTTCGGTCACAGAGGCGCCTCCGTCTGAAACTCGGCACAGCCGGCGGCCGCATTGGTGAGGCCTTGCACGAAGGAGCCTCGGCCGCTGCGCAGGGCTGGCCGCAACTTCGGGTTCCTTGGAGTCTACACCCCATGATAAGCTGGAATACTTGTGACCTGTGACACCCTACCCTCGGATACGCTCGCCCTGAGCCTGATGGAAAGATGGAAAATCAGCACCATCTGAGTTTCTTGCTGCGCTTCCCTGCTAGAGCAATGACAACATTCCACGAGCTGCCCCAAAAACGACAGAAGCCTCGAGAGTTCTGAATCTTAGGCCCTCGAGCGCGCAACTTGAAGCTACCCCTCACATCCGAGCCATGAGCATTTAACCCTGAACTCCGAAACTGTCAGACGTCTACAATAGGGGCCTCAACAGGAGTAAGGTTTCGCGATAAACCCATCAGGGCCGTAGCGGGGATAGCGTTGCCCATCCTTCCGACCTCCATAGCACTGCCGATTTTACACAGACCTCTACGTTGCTCGGGTCCGAAGTCTGGGTCCCCGGCTTGGCTGCAACTTCGGGAGGCGCATCTCCTGCCTTGACACAGGGGCAGCTGACTGCCGGTGCTAGTTAGGTTCCGTGAAGTAGAGCGCTTTCGGGTCTGTAATCCGGGTCTTGCGGTGTCGGGTTCACGGCATGTTGCTTATGGGCTCTCTTCTTTCAGGATGGGACGATTTCAGGATCGGGGTCAAATGGTATGGCGGAAGGCAGATCGGCCCAGCCCAAAGCTCGGCATGCTCCGGAAGTCAGGCTGGCCTTATGTTGACCCCAGACCCTAAACAGACCCGGAACCTTAAAGCCCTCAATCATTCAGGACCCCTCAGTATCTTCGGGCTTCGTGCTTCATGAAGACATTCCTGCGGTCTCTAGGACGCCTTCACGTCAAGCGAGCCGGCAGATCATTAGTCTCAGCGCATCAAGTCGGACTGAGAGCTCCCAGTGTGCCTGATGACCCGACACAAAACCCTCGCAGCTGGAACAGGGACCTCAATAATTAGAATAGGGTTTTGCGGCATATCATAGTTATCATAGTATTACTAATGTATAATTAGCATTTATATTCATGTATATTCATAGTAAGGAGACCTGAGGAGTAGTGTTTGTACTCATCGGCGCCTATGTTTGGAGCGCACGCGCACACCTGTGGACATGCACGATAGATTTGCATGCGTAGTGAGGGAGTATCCTTGTGTACAGCCCCAGCGCGGATGCAATAGGAACTTGAGAAGTGCAGGACACAGGCAAAGTCGTCATGGGGAGAGTCGATACCAACCAGTGCTTTAGGGTATCAATCCACGGTAGGAAGGGCTGAAACCTCAAATCGAAGCCAACTTCGGAGCAACCCCACTGTCCAGATTTGAGAGCTTCGAGGTTCAAGTATCGGGCTTATGCATTCAGGGAGCTAGCTGCAACGGGTCTGAGTCTCCCACGGAACACCAGCACACTTATCAGAATCAGAACTCGCTCGTGCGCCATACCCCGTTCCGGCACTGTGTCAAACGACCTGCCTCTTTCCCAAATCGCAACGCAACCCTCCTATCCCACCCCGAACCCCGCAAAGCGTCCTCCTTGGAGGGTTCCACGCGACCCTGGACCCGGAGAAACACGAAGTTGAGGCTCTGGGTTTCAATCCAACAACAGGTTTCTCCCTTCGGCTCGGTGTCTCGGGGGTTTGGGGTGCAGAGTTTGCGTTTGCACGCGACCACCTGGAAATAGTCCAGGGAGGCCTAAGCCCACACGCCAGGCCCGATGCCCCGTAGAACGAGGGTAGTAGAGGGCCTTCATAATTGAAGTAGGGTTTTGAGGTAGGCTGTAGCATAATACATAATTGCAGCAAGGAACGCCAAGGAACGATTTTGGTAATTACTGAGGCCCCTCTCTTAGAGGTGACCGAAGGGTTGTTACGGCTTTTGGCATCACCTCGTTGAGTTGAGTGTTACTTTAAAGACTCTTGGTCGCAGAAGTCACCTGACAAATGGTTAAGCCCAGAGGCCTCATGGCGACTCTCAAATTATGCAAACGAAGGGCGAGATTAAGATTGATTGATTTGCGGAATGGGATGTTTTGAATGATTTATCAAAGTATGTGTGTGGAAAGTGTACACGAATGAATCAGCTTTGGAGTCGCTGGATGTTTAGCCAAATCCTGCAGCCTTAAATAAGCACATCCAGCCACTCCCGTAGGTGGTAAGCTGAGGCTTCAAACCTTTCGACCCTCGTTTAGCTCCACCCTGGACGAACTCAGATCCGTGAAGACGTCTCAAGCGAAAAGCTTCGCAGACTGCTCCGGCCTCAGAGGGCGAGCGTCTGAAGAACGGAATCCCGGCACCACGCCTTCAAGGGCAGACGACGTCCGAAGGCTCAAGGTGTTGGGACTCAGGGTCGGATTACTTATCACGAGACGTCCTGACTGTCATAGCAGCCAGACGGATGCTTTGGTTCAGACGTATATAGAGCCAAGTTCAGGAGTGCGCGCTTTCACACCTTGACAGGAACTGGTCTGACAGCGAAAGATGACATGACCCAGGCCTCTGCGACCATGCTGCGTGCTGCACACCTGCTATCAATCCGAATGTCGTGATGAGGGTGCCATAGCTTGTAGTACACTAGTCACAAGTCCTTGCGTGGCACCTGCAAAAGTCAATAAGATATAGCTACACATGTCGTGCTCAACCCGCATCTCATGCTTGTTTGGACGACTCTTTGGAGCCCCTGTAGGGGATCCTAACTTGGAAGCTTGACATATGAGTGAGACGATCCTCAAAGTTGGAATGGTGGGAAAGCCTTGGAACACTTGACACTGATCGGTGCCTGGAGAACCCAAACCTGGAAATCGTAAATTCCTACACCTGGGCGTTGCTCCTCGAAGAACGTTCTTGGTTCGGCTCCGGTTCTGGTGGGGGGGGTCGGGGCTCTGAAGGTTACGACTTCAGGCCCAGGCACTCAGACAAAGTCTGGGATTGCGGACGGCTCGGATGGGAGTTGAGGGATTTTGAAGTCATTGAAGATTGAGTGTTTGCGTTGCGGTTTGGCTGTGGGGATTGTGGAATTGAAGCTTCAGCGCGCTGTAAACTCGAGAGGCTGCGCTCCCAGCATGCACAAAGTAAAGCCTGGCCTCAAGCCGCCCTCCCCACAAATACGAACAGCCGCTTGCACCACCCAGCGACCACGCACACCAAAACAGGTGGCTTGGAACAGCAAACGCATGTCGACTCGGCAAGGTCGAAATCACGTATCAGCACAACTTCAAACGCTCTGAACACGTCCTCCGTAATCTCCAGGTCCGAAGCCCGATAACCCTCATCCTAAGTGAGTTTGATATTGTGGTACGAAACTAGTTCATCTACTGCACTTAAACGGATGCATCAATCGCCAGACCGAGCCCGCACACCTCGCCACTGTGAAGCACCGGAAGCACAAACAGCGGCCTGAGTGTTCCCACCCGAAAACATGTGGCAAACGCCTTGTCGTGGCTTGGTATAGGCCACTGTTTGGCAGTTCACCCTATTGCTTCTTGCGGATTGTACTAACAGGATCCCGATCGTTGTCCTCATTAATTGACAGCCAGCTTGCAAATCCAGGGACTCTGGGCTCAGGGTTTAGGAAGTGAGGGTCGAGGTTGTCGAGCCTGTAAGCTCATGCACTTCTGCGCTTGGGCCCGTAAGAGCCGCGCATTCTCGTAGGGTTTAGTAGGGTTTAGGGTTTAGGGTGAGGCTCAAATTGTGGTGGCTCGGACGCTCTACCCAAGCATTGCTTCGGCAAGTTACGCCTAGCTCACCTTAGATTATGGTTCTGGTGCCCGGACCCCAAAACCTGAAGCCATAAACGCCTCTGAATCCCCACCCTACTGTGGACTGGAGCCCCAAGCCCCCACCTTCAACCCCTGGCCCTAAACTCCCTAAGCAACACTCAAACCTCCAAAACCGCTAGCCCCAAACGCTGGATTCCAAAAACTTCCGAGACCCCATCGTGCTTTCGGGTTATATAGTTCGCTCCAGCTGAGGCCGCAGCGCAGACCGGGGGCAGCCAAGTCCTCAAAGTTATGGCGGCAGATGTGGCACTTCTACGAAACTTATGCCAGCTCAAATCTCATCGCCACGTGGGTCCTTGAAGCGCTACACAGGGGCGTTGGCACAGATCGCCAAGTCCTCGCTGTGGAGCTCGCAGAAGGGAGTTGCAGGGTCCAAGTCTTTTGATGCCCTTTCTCGGGACGGGAGCTTCTTGCACTTCTGCCCTTAGATGGGCCCCGCTTAGTGCTCCCGACCCAAGCCAATCTTGAATCAAGACTATCATCTCGGAACCCTGCAAAACAAGAGTGCAAATTTAACAAGCCCTACTGCACACTCTCAAAACCCCCGAGCCCTTCATACCGACATGACTAAGCGTCGAACCCTTAATCCCATAACCCACTCCTAGAATCTAAACTGTGAACCGTGGTAAACTCCAACAGTCGCCCATGCCTTGTGGGACGAAAAACCACATGGAGCCGGCTTCCGACGGAGTATTTCGGTTTCGTGGCTTTCGGGCATAGAGATTTTGGGGAATTCCCGGTAGCACTGAGTTTAAGGTCTAAAAATTGAGGGTCGCACGCTAAGGACTCGAAAATTTGGGGTACGGCTTGAGAGCCGATCCTTAGCCTTCCAAGACTTTCAAGGACTTCAGGCCAATGTAGCATAAGCGCCCTTAATCACTAGAGTAAGGCTTTACAGGCATTGGGCATATTTTGTTAAACTGAAAGAAAAACAGGGATGCAAATTGTTGCCAAGGCATGATACTATTTCTAAGATATTTCGGACCCCGATATTAACCAACCCCAAAATCTGCTTTGGGCCCTCGGTCCTCGGAGACTGAAGGGTGATGGCTGGGGCAGGCGGCACAGCTCGGGTTCGCATCTTCGCTCAAGATTCGCTGAAGTTTTGGTCCGAACTGAGGGCTCCATATGGGCGCGACGCTGTTTGGCAAGTAGACAAAACACTCATTCGAGGCGAAGCTGCATTCCAATTCGGTTTTTTTACCATACCTACAACATAGAGACAGACAGATGAACTTCGAGGGTTTAACTTTGCCTGTCTGCGGGTAAAGTCGCCGCCACTAGGCTTCGTTGACTGAACTCTTTCCGTGCTTTCTCACTTCAACTTGCCGGGCCGAGCCAGGCTGAAGCGGAGGAAAAATTGCGGCAAGCTGCTTCAATCTTGAAGTCAAGGATGAAATGATAAAGCAATACAATGATCCGGGGTCTTCCGTCACGAGCATATACGCGGGACGCTCGAACCTACATTCTGAAGTGCTTCTGCTTTCTCGCAGGAGGTTGCATGAAGAATCTGGATTGCTTGAGACGCTTGGAAGATCTGGTAGAGTGCCCAACGGCAGCACGTGTGTTCAAGAAGCGTCTCCACAAGCTTTGCCAAGTAGTCATGCGAAGTTACTGCTACAAACCGAGTGGCAAAACCTGACAACCATGGTTGGAATCACGCGGAGCATCACAGTAATTCCACAGCTAACACGAACGAAACCGCTTCCACTATGTTACCCGTACAGTGGCTTGAGACACGCCGGGATAAAATCCAGGTTCCCGGACGTTTAAACATGTTGCTGCGCGAAAATTCGGTCAAATTCTTCCGAACATGACTCTTGCGTGACGGACAAGATTTCCAATTGAACTACCTGTGATGTACGTGTATGTACGCACGAATGGTGAAGCATGGCCATCATTAATCGTCAGACCCAGTGCAACTCGCCGCTCTGCCAGTGTTTTCCCAATCAGACTGTTGTCTCGTGCACTGGGCGCCTTCCCAGGAAAGGCACGACTCTGCATCAGCTGCCTCAAGGCTCAGATTCAAGGATCCGAGGCTACACTGCTCTGTTTGGCTTGTACGTCATCCCCCTACCCCCCTGAGGGTCCTTATGACAAACTCTAAACAATGCCCTTGCAGTTCACGGTGGAGACGTGCGGCTTGAGGTTTGAGGGTTCCGAAGTTAATGTAATTATTGCCAACTCACAATCTTTCCGCTTTTTCTCTTGCACTTTGATGTCGAGCAGAAATGTGGCAAGACACACCTCCAGCACACTCGCACTTGAGCCACCAAAGTGGCCGGAGGGCCCGAAAAGTACATGCAAACCAAAACGACGAATAGTGGATAGATAGATAGGTAGATACATAGATGGATAGATAGGTAGATAGATATATGGATAGACTTATGAGTGTCTTCTGGCCAAAGGCTCCAAGCCCCTGAAAGCATAAGAGGGCACAAAACAGCATAAGCAAAAGAGCATAAGCACAAAAGAGCATAAGCAAAAGAGCATAAGCACAAAAGCGCATAAGCAAAAGAGCATAAGAAAAAGAGCACAAACAAAAAAAACAAGGTCCGGCTGGAAGCCTGCACCTCGTCAGAGGAGCTCTGCTTCCGCAAGCAACAAGTCCCTCTGTCCCACCAGCTGTGAAGCAAGAAGTAAAGCCACCCGGCCTTGACAGGGTCGTCACATGTGAAGAAAGTCGCCGGTTTTTGCGGCTTTGCGGGCAGGCCAAACCTTGTAGCTGCCCATGTAGTCAGTAAGCCCAAACTCCTTTTGCACGTTTGGTTGGGTTCTGGAATCTGGGATGGGCAGCAAGATCAAGAGGTGGTGTCCGGCTCCCAATTTCGGAGCCCAACTAGAAGTCGGTCCAGGGCTACAGTGTACAGCTTATGCTAACCGCCGGAGCCTCTGTCACTCTCCTCCAGACCCTGCAGACCCTTAAGGCCTTAAGCCCCATCAGCCTAACATGCGTCGGGTTAAGTATTGTCCGTTCGCAAGTTGAACCTGGTACAGGATATTTGGGTCTGGAATACCAGCGACAATCATCATCAACCTCAGACGTTTCGCACGCTGCCCTAAACGTATAGATACAGATATAGATATAGATATAGATATAGATATAGATATAGATATAGATAAAGATATAGATAAAGATAAAAATATAGATATAGGTATAGGTATAGATATAGATATAGGTATAGGTATAGATATAGATATAGATATAGACAAAAAAAGATATAGATATAGATATAGATATACATAAAGATATAGATATAGATATAGATATAGGTATAGGTATAGATATAGATATAGATATAGATATAGATATAGGTATAGATATAGATATAGATATAGATATAGGTATAGATATGGATATAGATATAGATATACATATAGATATAGATATGGCTATAGCTATAGCTATAGCTATAGATATAGATATAGATATAGGTATAGATATAGATATAGATATAGATATAGATATAGATAGAGATAGAGATAGAGATAGAGATAGAGATATAGATATAGATATAGATATAGATATAGATATAGATATAGATATAGATATAGATATAGATATAGGTACAGGTATAGATATAGATATAGATATAGATATAGATATAGATATAGATATAGATATAGATAGAGATAGAGATAGAGATAGAGATAGAGATAGAGATATAGATATAGATATAGATATAGATATAGATATAGATATAGATATAGATATAGATATAGATATAGATATAGATATAGATATAGATATAGATATAGATATAGATATAGATATAGATATAGATATAGATATAGATATAGATATAGGTATAGATATAGATACAGATATAGATATAGGTCGAAGTTTCGAGAGACCTGCGACACGTAACTTCGGAAATCCCAGGCCAGAGAAAGTCTGTCATCCGTGCCTTTTTGGGGGGAGCCATTTATGAGGGGATGACCAGTAGAACCCTAACTACACTAGCGTTGTCCGCCTGCCAGAAACCGGACTTACGACGTCCCGAAACCCTCAGAACCTACCCCTAACCCTTAACTCCCTAAAGTTCTAGAGCCTGTATAGCCCTCAATAGCCGACGTACTTGGTTCCATGATCCTCTCAATGTGCTTGGGAAGCCACTCTAGAACAGCAATCGAGAGCCCCGCGTTTCAGCGGCGCCACCAGGTACCCTGTCAACGGGGCCAGTGTCGGGAGATTCTTAAGATTCAGGCAGCAAAAGGGGTACAGCGTTTAGAGTGGTGTGGAAGTGGTTTCGCTGTCGCAGCAGTCGTATTTCTGGCTTCGGGAGGCTTGCCACTTGCACTTGGGCCGCTGATGGCATCAAGCATTTCCTGATGGCTGCAGGCAGTGAACTCACCACCTGATACCGCTGCGAGCATACGGTGCGGCCGAGCTGTCATGCCGGCTCGGCACGGAAAGCTCTTCGACTGCTTCCAAAGTCTCAAGCTCTACCTGTCCATGGATCGCTCGCGATGCGGCCTGTTCTGCAGACTTTCCGCAGGAAGGCGGCTCAGGCTTCTTCACGTTTCGGGTCAGAGCATTTTGAAAGCTCCATCTAGGTTACATCGTGCGAAAGTCCCTGTTGCTTCGGCTAGAGTTACTAGAGAAAATTTGAGCAATCGCGATGATTCCCTGGAAGGATTCCAAGCGAAATCCCAAAGGTCCAATAGTTCAGCAACTTCATACAGAATCTGGCAAACTCAAAACCCTTGAGTCCACAGCCTCGAAAACGGGACGACTACTACGATTACTACGACGACGATCAACACAAAATAGCAGCACAATCAGCACTACTAAACGACAGTTGATTATGGGAATAACACAAAAGTGCGCTGTGGCCGAAGATCTCTTAAACCGGCCTTTGTTGAATGGATCGTGTAGGCCATCCATGGGGCCTCCGATGTTCAGGGCTTTCTAAAGGGCTCCGCAAGGGCTCCATGCAGGGTTTTCGATGAGGGGTTCTAGCAAGGGTGGTATTTTCGGGGAGTGTTAAAGTAAGGGAGGAGGTACCCATCGTATAGTTACATAAGAGCTGTCAAGCGATGCTATTGCTACTCATGTAGCAGTAGTAGTAGTAGTAGTAGTAGTAGTAGTAGTAGTAGTAGTAGTAGTAGTAGTAGTAGTAGAAAAGTAGAAGTAGTAGTAGTTGTTGCTGTAGCAAGAGTAGTAGTAGTAGTAGTAGTAGTAGTAGTAGTAGTAGTAGTAGTAGTAGTAGTAGTAGTAGTAGCAGTAGTTGTCGTAGTAGTAGTAGTAGTAGTAGTAGTAGTAGTAGTAGTAGTAGTAGTGGTAGTGGTAGTGGTCGTGGTGGTGGTGGTGGTAATAAAAGAGGTTGGCATGGGCTGGGTTTTGTATATTGCGGTTCGATTTTACCATAGGTGAACACATACGTATGCAAATACATGCTACTGCAGCCGCGATCCATCAAGTTAGGAAGCGCCAACGCGGTGACAGCACAATGCCATGATGCATTGCAGGCAGCCCTTGAGATGACTGCCAAACCAGGGCTGCAGGGCTTTCTGGAAGTGGCAACAGTCTCATACAGTTCTTTATCCCTCAAGCGCACGCACCGATTACAGCACATCTTGCAAGAGTTCAAGTGGTATTCATTTGTTGGCTTGCAGGGTACTCAGAAGCGCACTGATTATGCAGTGGTCCAGTATCATTGTGGCAGCCATATGGTGTTTGAGTGGGGATGCACTGCCGGCGATAAAGCAGCAGGGGTTCTCCTTGCAATCAGGTCACGGCTTTTCCAGTCCCGCAACCTCGTTCGTGAACACACCGCCAGTTCCAAGGAAGGGTTGGTGCAGTTCGTTTACGTGGAGGAGGTGCTGATTCTTGTGTCACTGTGGTATATGTGCCAGTCCAAGCGCAGCGGTCTTACAACGAATGATTGTGGGCATGGGTCCAGCATCTGGTGGACTCACTGCCCAATCGATGTGTGTGGCAGTCTTGCTGCTGGATGCCAACTGTAGGACGGGTTCTGTCGGCAGTGACGCCGCGGGTCTGGCGCAGCCGCAACGACAGATTTTCCATGGTTCACTCATGCATGGTGTTCTGTTGCATCATACCTTGTTTGCTGTCAA